AAATTTGGTACTAGAATCTATATAGTATTTCCTGATTTATAATATATATGAGTATAAAGTGATATTAAATTTTTTAAAATAATGATATAATATGGTTTAAAAGGCTTATCTGAAACTGGTACAATCATGCTAGATACTTTTCAAAGTTCTTGTATATCATTAAATAGTATGCCAGATAGTTATTCTTTTAAATAAATTTGTGGTACATTTAAAGTTGCTTGCCAAAACCTCTTCAAAATCCTGCGATAAATTTCAGCAAGATTTTACTATATGTTTACTATAGTTTCGGCAGGGTTTCAGCAGTTTCGGCAAATGGGAGTTTCGGCATTTTGGCAAAGTTTTGGCAGGATTTTTAATATGATTTAATATAGTTTCGGCATTTTCCGTATAGGTTTTGGCAGTTATTAAGAAGGTTTCGGCAAGCAACCTTAGGTACATTATATAATTGTTTAATTATATCATTAGGTAAATTATTGGATTTTTTAGTTTAAAAATACAAAAAAATAATAAATAAGTTAGTTTTTTTATATTTTAGCATAAAGGTTGTATATTCTAACTTTAATTTGTAAATTAAAGCTTATTTTCAAAATAAGGACAATAAGGTTCATATTTTATTAACATATTTTGATATTTTAACTTAAATTCTTCTTGGCTATAATTGTTTCGTATATAATAAAAATCTTTAACAAACTTTTTTACTAATCACCATGTAATTTTAACTTAGCTTTCTTTTTAATATTCTTAATAATATAATAAATACATAACAAATATTATGCTTAAGGATAGATAATATGAATAGTAGCAATTACTGCAGGATTATTATCTATAAAACTTACTTTAAGTAAAATATTATTAACTGATTCTAACATATATTGAAAAGTCCATTTATAAGAAGTTTAAATTTTATATTTAATTAAGATTTATCTAACAATTTTGTTTTGAAATTATTATTAATATAAACAAATAAACTTAATATTATATTATAATGATTTGTCTTTACTGTATTATCATAGATAATCATATCATAATATTTTGGTCATAAGTCATTATATTGTTAGCTAATCATCCCATAAGTTTATTATTTGGATCTTTCAAATATAGTATAACTAGAAAACGGGAACTGTTGTAAGTCCGGAACGAGGTATAATAAATAAAGATGTAGCGATATTCTACTAATTAGCAGCATAACGTCTTGGAATTCCAGTAATTTTCTGCTGATTAGCAGCATAACGCCTTGGAATTCCTGGACAGAGAAACTCACGTGATTGAAAATTTACATGTTATTTTCATAGATCATCATAGTGCGTAAACATATATAGTCCTTCGTTTCGCTCTGGATAATTATATAATTTTAATTTTTATTATACTATTTCAGAAAATATAATAATATTTTAGTAATATCAAATTCATTTTAGATTTATATACCTTTAAATTTGCTGACTGTATTATATAAATTCTTCTTTTTAATATAATATTTTAAAAATTCTTTAGTTAAAAGATTATATTACTAACTAATTTTTAAATAACCAGAAATAGTATAATGCTTAATTTTATTTAAGATAACTTGTAAAATTTTTAAACTTTTTGGTGCTAATAAGTCAATAATTTCTAAATCTGAAAGTTGAGTGAATTTTATAATACTTGCATATTTTCTAAAGTAAAAATTAATATACCATGAATAATTTATTTTACCTGGAATAGTATCATGATAAGTATTAATATCTTCAATTTTCTTAATTTGATTTATTCTAAATTTTCAATAAACATATTTTTGACATTAAATAATAAACTTATTAATAAAATCAAGATTCTTATGATATTTATTAATGGCAAAATCCTGTTATTTTATATATACTTTAGAATAAAATTCCAATCATCAAATAAATCACCAATCTGAAGTTTATTTCATAAACCAATTTTACTATTTATGAATTGTATATTATGAGTTAAATTTTAAAGAAAAAAATAAAAACAAATAAGTGTAATTATAACATTAAATAGAGAGAAAAAGAGAAGAAAGATGGTTAAAAAGTTTAATAAAAGTTTAATTTATTATTAATATTACATTAGTATTATATTATATTATATAATTCTGCAGTTACTTTACTAAAAATGGCCAATTTTTTGAAATGATTTTGTAATAATTTTAAAATACTACAAAAATACATTTAATACATCAAAATGTTTTTATTATATTTTTGATATTATTTTATAATTATATTGTATATAGGTCTATAAAAATAACTCAAAATAATATCACAATAATTTTTTAATGTTTTTGTTATTATTTTATTATTATAATATAATTAACTTTGATATTATTTTAATATTTTAATATCAAAAATACCTTAAATATATCTTGATATATTTTAAAAATTTTACAAAATAATTGCACAATTGTTTTGAAAGCCATTGTATATAGGTCTATAAAAATATTTCAAAAAATTGGCCATTTTTAGTAAAGTATATATAATTCTAGCAGTGTAATGTTAATGGTGATATATATAAATTTTATAATAAAAATTAGTATTTAAGTAGTTTCAGATATATTCAACAACTTTACTTAAACTTCTCAAACTTATTTTATTTAGTTAAAATACCAAAATTATACTATAAAATTAAAAATAAATGTAGATAATAATTTAATTGATAAATATCTGTTTTTCACAAAAACTAAAGAAATATTAATAAAACTAATGATACTTAAATGTTTTTATACTTATTAAATAACTCTACGTAGTTTTTTAAGATTTGCTTTTAGTATTAACATTATAAAACTACAAAAAATACATATATTATGAGAAAAAAAGCAGCATTTTTTATTTTAAAAAATATTTTAAATTAAAAAAAAAGAAAAAAAAAGTTTTATTTTAAATGGGTGAAGTCATCTTGTATAATGTACTGGACTTGATTACAATAGTTTTTTTTTATTTTAACAGAACATTCTATATATCCTTAATTGCCATTATTAGCTATAAGGTCTTTAAAATAATTATCACATAAGAGAAAAAATGCAAGTTTATATTTTACCTAAAAAATAGAAGGATTTAAATAATCTAGTAGGTAAAAAATTTGAAATTGATAGTCAGAAATTGATTGGTGTTATCATGTTTCTATTTAGTTTAATAAGAAGCTTAAGGTTATACTTATAAAGAAAGATATAGTCAAGAATTTTAAAAAAAAATCCTAATTTATTGGATAAAATTACAGGTATCAATAGGATTTTTTTGAATATATGTAGGTAATATTAGTGTAATGATAATAAGAAAAACAATATATAAAAATTTTCTTATAAGTTTTTCATTATACAATAAAAAGACAAAAAACAAAAGGCTTTAGGATCTTCAATTAAAAATTTTATAAGAAAATAACAAAATTAAAGAAAATGCTAAAAAAGTTAACAGATAGAATATAATATTAGAAGAGGATTCTGCTTACTTGTAAGATAAATTACCTTCAGATTTAAAGTAAAAATCATATATAGATTTTTTTGCAGATCCTATTATAAAAAAAATTTTATATTATATTGTTATGATTTTATAGAATTTAAGAAAAAAATAAAGTAAAAATTATTAGTAAAAGCTAATTTTTTATAGTAACTTTTATTATAAGTAAATGGAATTCTACTAGGAGGCTGTTTGTTTATTTATTAAAGAGTTAACTTCTTTTCTTTATACATATAGTTTTTGTTTTACAGATAGAAATTTTTGTTTCTTTTAGAAATTTTATTTTAGTTAGTTAACATTTTTCTTATATAGAGTTTTTTTTAAGAATTACTAATTTCATTTCTTTTTTTACTTTGATGTGTTACTTATAAGAAATACTTTACATTACTAATAGAGCTTTACCAGGTAAAACATTATTTATTTTGCAATATATTTCTACTGAGTTGTTTAATAAACAAAAATTCACTTTAAAGGTAATTATAAAAAAAAAAAATTAATTTATTAATATTTATTTTTAAACTTAATATATTTTAATTTTTAAATATGATATAAAATTTTATACTTCACCACTTTTTTATTTTTTGGCCAAATTTTATAAAATCATATGAGCAAAATTTTATTGGTCAATATTTACTAATTATATATATATAGGTGGATTTGTAAAGAATACCAATTGTTTTAGTCAGAATTAATATTAATTTTAGTTAAAATGATTTATAAAATTCATATTATCAGAAAGAATCTGTTATTTTATTATATATAAAATTGTAATATCCATTAAATTTCATTAAGAATAATAAATATATATTTAATTTGTTTTAAAAAAAATAAAATAAAATTTATAGATAAATAATTCTCATTCAGTTATTTTAAACAAAAATATTTTTATATTAATTCTTAATTTAGGCCAGTTTATAAATTTTGGCCTGCATTATATTAGTGTTAAACTAGCCAAATTCCTCTAAATTTATTCAAAATATAGTAAAATAACCAAAATTAAAACTTATATATCTTATGCTACAGTAATTCAATTTGAAAAAACTCTCTATTATATAAAAGTATACTACAATATTACAGAAAGTTTTTAAAAAATATTGATTAAATTTTTTTTCTATTCATTTGAAATCACATGATAAAAAGTGGTGTTTGCACCATATATAAAACAAAAGGTATACATTTATTATTTATATTTTATATTAATATATTAAAAATATATTAGAAATATATTTGAAATGCATTGAGATTTTAATATTTTAGAATGTATTTTAATGTATTTGAAATGTACTGAAATATTCAAATAATATAATTATTTGAAATGCCTTATATTGAAAATGCAATATAAGTGCATATTTGCCTCCAATAAATTAACCAGTTAAAGGGTGAATTCATTAAAAACTTCTTTTAATTTGAATGCTAAAAAGAAATCAAAAGGTAAAATAAAAAGGCATAAATTATAGCATTTAAAGATCTTGATGTCAGTTAAATGATGCAAATTGGTGTAATTCTAAACAAGTTAGATTGGATTTTAAAATGAATGTAGTAATTCTAGTTGGCAAAACAAATTTGTCTTAACTATTTTTTAATTCTTTATTACAAAATTCTGATATGTCAAAATTCTATTATATTCGTATATATATTATATTATCAGAAAATATAATCATAACAAAAAATTCCCTTATAAGTTGTAATCATCTTCATCCTCATCATCAAATTTCCGTCGGTTATACTTATGCAAAGTTAAAAGAGTTATTAAAGAAAAAAAATTTTTTATACAATATTATAAATATAAAATCAATAAATACCACAATTTTCGTCTCGGGCTTTTGTTGTTGATTAATTTGTTCCAAGATTTCAATCAACTGAGACTCGCTTACTTTTCCACGTAATTGACCCGTTTGGGCCATACGAATTAAAAGATCTTCAACTGCACGCGCTTTGTCAGCTTTAACCATAGAAATTCTCGCAACTTTACAATTAATTTAAAATAATTTAATTCATCATTTATAATTTAGTTAATGAAGTTTATAGAATCAAATAACTAATAAACTCACGTCGCTCTCGAGCTTCATTGTCCAGAATTTGTGATAGCTATGAATTTTTCAAAAATTTCTTAAAAAAAAAATTAAGAAAGATTAAAATAAAAAGTTGAAGTTACCATCGATTGTCTCGTCTCTTCTATTTGACTGTAAAATATGTCCAGCTAAAGTGCTTAGCAAGAATTGGAAATCTTATTATATGTAAATAGCTTAACGCGGATTCTTTTACCGTTTCTGTTCGCTGTCTTCTTCCGTTGACTTGGAACCGCCGCTCTAAACAAACAAAATTGAAAAATGTAAGAAATAAGTTAAATAATAAAAGTGCAAATAAATCTCAAAACTTGAAAGCTAACCTCTGCATGCTGGGCTTGAAGTTCGCGCAACCTAGCTTGTCGAATAGCTTGAAGTTCGGAATCTTCCATAACGCTCTCTAAGATTGAATATTTATAATTTGGAGAATCGATATTTTGTGGATGTAAAATATGTAATTATATGTGTAATGTGTGTGTAATTCATATACATATCGGTATCAATTATACAATCGGTAAGTTATAATGCTATCATTCCAAGCATCATACCGTTTTTATAAAGAAATTTGTTTTGTTAATTTAAATTTAAAAATATAAACAATAAATTATTATACTACGAAGTCTACAAGAAACCCGATCAAGAATCGGCGACTATGGAAGATGCTCCGTATGACTACAAAATCTTAACCAGGCCTCGCGCGAATCCTACAAATGCGAATTGTTCCAACACTAATGAACAAGATTCTAAGGTTGTGGAAAATAGATCTATTTTTGAAGATGCACTCCAAGCATATGAAGAACTAAAAAATCGGGAAGAGAATGTTTCCGAAGATTGGGAGTACAACGAAGAGAGTGGGTATTATTATAGCGAATCAACAAAAATGTATGCTCTTTGGGATACACACATTCAAGATTGGATATATTTTGATAAATTTGAGAGAGATCGGAGAAAGAACTACAAAATCGACGTAACTAAAATAGATTATAAACATGAAGATTCTTCAAACTCAGATAAGGACACTGAGGATTCAATAGATAGTGCACTCGAGGAGGGACAAATATCAGATTCTGAAGCATACGAGACAGCTTCTTTATCATACGAGAATAGTACCAATGGACAAGACATACACAAAAATTCAAAAGAAAAACATATGTGTACATATTCTGTACCAGCAGGTTATATCGTTACCTCAGAAGAGAGATATTATTTCAACCCTGAGAACAATGTTTGGTTTGACGTGTATTCTGGAGTGTATTCTGTATATGATGAGGGTACTCAAACATATACTCCAGTTGACCCAAACTCTATAATATATACATTAACACCTGACGAGAGTGCATTAGACCAAGGAGAACCCGGTAGCGATGCAACTCTTAGATTGGTAGTGATTGAATCCGGAATTCTTAAATCAGGACATTTAGTTCTGGTTGATGCAAACGGCATTTCTATGGGAAGGGACAGGTGGGATGATCGACGACTTCGATTAGCTGAAATGCCAACATCAAAACATCACTGTCAAATATTTTTTTCTTCAACTTCTATTATTGATAATAACAATGAAGAAGAAGAATCATCAACTCCAGATGCATTCTTTATTATTGATATAGGTTCGCAAAATGGAACTTTTGTTAATTCTCAACGATTGTCAGAAAGTAAGATGAGTTCTAAACCACATCAATTGAACCATATGGACGAAGTTACTGTTGGGAGCACCAAATTTCAAGTGCATTTACATAAACAGTGGACATGTGATGTTTGTACTGTAACTGAAGGAAAAATGATTGATATATCAAATAATAGCGATGTTGTTTCTAATAATATTAATAAAGTCAAACGGAAAAATAATGATGGAGATTTAATTATGAACATTGGTATTAATATGAATAATAATACAACACAGAGAGAACTTTTAGAAGTTCAGCGACGTGAGGAGCTGAATCGTTTGAAACGTAAATATATGGGTCCATCTAACACTAATCAAAAACATACAAAGTATGTTGATAGGGCTGCTTTAAGAAGAGAGATTCATCCTGATAATGCTCCAATAAAAAAAGATTGGGAGGATACATCTCAAAACTCTACAATAGAAGTAAAAAATTTTCAAACTAAAATTGGTTCTGATAATAAGGGAAATAAGCTTTTACAGAAGATGGGATGGAAAGAAGGGCAAGGATTAGGACGAAATGGTACTGGAATGTTGAATCCAATCCAATTTGTTACTAATGAAGGAAGAATTGGTCTTGGTGCAGGAGGAAAAAAGAATCAAAATAACACTATGGAAACTTTACAGGAAGCAACTAGACGGTAAGAATTTGTATATAATTTTTTTCAATTACGTTATTTTACTAATGTTGTTTGTTTTAATTAATAGAGTTGCTAAAGAAAGATTCATTGATTTATTTAATGAATAACAAAAAGATTGAAACATATATTTGCAAATTTATATTATGCATTTAATTGTAAATCATCAGCGTAATACGAGAATAAACATATTTCATTGCATCATTAACATAAATAATATTATATCTGTTCTTTTTTTCATTATTGCAATAATTTGTAAGCAAATTCTTTCTCTGATGTCAAAAAAATTTGTACTTCTTTATAGTTTGTTCTGTAAATAATTTTTTTCTTTTAATTGTAAATAATTAGTTATATATAGAAAGGTTATTTTTAATGAAAGTTTATTTATACAAACAAAAATAAATAATCTGCTAAAAATAATATTATTTTTCCAAGCAGATGATCAGTTTACATATATTAAATATATAAAAAAAAGAAAAAAAGAAAAAAAATAATTGATAAAATTATATAAACACCTATGCATTCGTTAAAAGTATACAAGCAAGACCATAAAAAATTATAGTACGCGTTTGTTCGATGTTCTGAAAAGAAACAGTGAATCAATGAAGTATTTATACTCGAATTACTTATATTTAATAATCAAGCTTTTTCTTGCACATTGGACATTCATCTTTCAATTTAATTGCAGCTAAATGATTATAAAACATGAAATAAATTTAATTAATGATAAATAAGACGAATTTGAATTAAAGGGTTGAAAACTCACCTGCAACACATGATCTATGAAAATAATGACCACGACAAGGGGGAAGTTTAACAACTTGTTGATCAGGAGAGACCGAACTAGAATCTTGAAAGTTATCCAGACAAATTATGCAACTATCTTCAGATGATACTTGTTCGATTGCAACAGGTTGCAAAATTGAGTTGTCATCTTTTTATTATAGAAATAAAAAGTAATAATTAGCTTTTTCATATAAAATGATTAATTCAAGGAATTACAAATGTGTCACCATTCCCGATTCTTCTAACCCGACGAGTTCCACCACTTGAAAGATTGTACTGTTGAAAACGTCCTGTTGAATAGTTGAATCGCACTTCGTATCGATCGGCTATTGTAGCAAAATAACCTTGCTTTGGGACGATGACTGCTTTCTTACGTTGATAAGAATCTTCAAGTTCAGACGATGATGCTAAATCATAAGGAATCCATTGATCTGGATTTGCTCTCCATTCCCACTATAAAGGAATTAATAATCAATCGCGTCATTAATTATTATTATTTATTAAAAGAGAATTCATAGTATAATAATACCTGAACAGGTAAGTCTTTGGCATCAGTTCGTGTAAGAAAACACATTGCACATGTTAAGTCAATTCCCTTCATGAAAAAAGTCAAAAAATTTAGTGATATAAACAGAAGATATGTGAAACATTACTTCACTCACTTCATTAACATAGGTACACCTTTCGCAGGACCAATTTGCTCGATCTGTAGTAGACATTGCAAATCTTATTTAAGTAGTTACTAATAAATTTATATGAAGAATTAATGGCTAATAATTTATGACAAATTTCTTTTATCAAAAGAAGTTTTTGGTATAAAGTAACTTTTGTAACTTTTTTGAGTTGTTATGAAGAGAGAATAATAAGAGAACGGAACTATCGGAATTTTACTTGAAATTACTGCGTTTATTGCATGATTATAGAAATCGATGTAACACTTGTGTAACTTTTTGATCATTTTAAGAATATTATTTGTCAAGTCAACATGATTATATCATACTTATCATATAACAGATAATATATTAATTGTAAAAGGTTATGAATTAAGAAAATAATCCTTTGAGTTGATCTGAAATAAATTGATATTTTTGCATTAAAAAAGATAATATCTTTGTGAAATTAATTGATTAAAAATCTTAATTTAAAAGATACAATTAATAAATTGGATTGTTTCATAACTGCGTACGTTTAATTTTTTCATTGCTGTACAGAGTACAGACTTGATAATTGGATTGATTTTCAATAACTTTAATTTCTTTTTTTTTTTCTTTTTTTCATCGAATTCCAGAGGCTAAAATTCTAGAAAATTTTTATTATCTATTAAATAAAAAAAAAATCAATTTAGAAATAATTATATAAAACTAATATACAGTGAATCACTTATATCTGAACAATTTTTTGATAAAATCGCTCTTTGGAAGTAGTGGAATAACATTTCATAATCATTTAATTATTTGGTCAATAGGCAAAGTGTTTATAGTAAAATCAATTTCCTAGTTTTTATATAGCATTCCCAAGTACCAGTTTTTAATTTTAATCAAGTATTTAATATATTCAGATCGCCGATTTAATACGTGCTGATTAACGACAATATAGTTATTGAGTATGATATATACCTCCGATGGTGGAGACGTGGAGTGCTACGGAGATGAGTGGTGTCGGGTCAGCGTGATGAGTATAGTATGGACCCTATGTGACAGTTTACTCAAGTGATAAATAAACACCTTGGCCCAAGTTCGGCCCAGCGGTTTGGCCGGGTGTCTATTCATCACCGAGTATGCTTCACACCCTTTATGTTACACACCGCCAAATGTCACCATACTATACTCATCACCCCAACCCGACACCACTCCTTTCCGTAATACCGCCGATGGTGTATATATAGTGTAAAAAAACTATACTGTATAGATAAAAGCTATACTGTATAAAATATAAAAAACTATACTGTATAGATAAAAAATTATACTGTATGGATAAAAAATTAAACTGTATGGATAAAAAATTAAACTGTATAGATAAAAACTATACTGTATAGGTTTTTGTCAACTATACTATACAACATCGGAGGTATATATCATACTCAATATCGTTTAACCGCTGATGAACATAATTTCAAGAATTTATCATTGCTATACTCTTATGCATACTCTATTAACTTTACCCGTCATCTATAGCGAATTTATTTATAAGCCTTTTAATTAAATTTAATTGTAAGTTTCACATGTCAATTTTTAGGAATCTTCGGCGATTCTTATAATCAATGGTTCTTGCTATAAATAGGTTAAGGAAATAAACATAAAGAACTGTTACATGTGATATAAAACCATGGAACATTTACACTTTTTCTTATGATTGTCTCATGTGGTTAAAAAACGGGGCGAAAAGCTGAGAGCAAAGATTTTAAACAAATTTTTTAAAAATAAATTTCCTATTTAAAAAACTTTATTAAATATAATTAATGAATCCTTTATATGAAATTTTTATCCCATACTTAACGATGATTTCGAAAATAGCAAACACATTTTCTTATTTAAATCACAATTGTATTATACAGCAAATGAAATCTATTTCGTATAATAAGTTTTGATTTTGCTTTACAGCTTTAGGATTTCTAATTGTAAAATTGTCTTTGTACGTAATATTACGATATTGATATGATAATCTGATAAATTTTTTGTGGCTGTATACTGTGCCTGAACCTATAAAGAAATAATTTGGCCAATCATGTTAAATGATAATACCAAGGCATTGTGAATTTTACATATTTTACATAATATTAAGTAATTTATCCAAATTAGAGTCGTATGATTTGTTTTTTTTTGTATCGCCTGATATTCATAATAATTACGTTTTCACTGTTAATTGTAATGAAAAAAAGGAAGAATGGCGTGAGACGGTTTATGACAAAATTTTTCAATTGATTAGATTAAACGATAAGAAATATAAAAACTATAAATACCCAAATGGAATGAAGGTTTTTTTTTCTGCTACTAAATAATATTTGTTTAAGACAAACGAAAAATGGTTTTTGGATCACGTGTCGCTGTAATTGGAGCTGGTTCAGTTGGAGCTACAATATCTTATGCTTTGCTTATTCAAAAGATTTCATCCGAAATAATTTTAGTAGATATCGTTGAAGAGGTTGTACAAGGTCAAGTCCTTGATCTATCAGATGCAAATTTTATTTCTTCCACCCAAATTCGTGGTGGAACTTTCCAAGAGGCTGGTCAATGCGACATAATCATTATTACTGCAGGCGCAAAACAAAAACCTACTGAAACCAGAGTTGAGGTAAATTTAAATTTGAGATAAAAAACCCAGGTCAAATATTTGTCCCTCGTCAAATAATAATTATAACTAAATTTCTCGCTTTCTCTTGATAGCTAATAGAAAGGAATTATAAAATCTTGGATAGTGTTATTAAATCGATGCAACCTATTAAATCCAGTGCTATTTTATTATTGGTTGCTAATCCAGTAAGTTATTATCATCATCTTAATTTGGTTTTATTATTATTATTTTTTTTTTTTAAACAAATTGTTTCTTGTATATTAGGTTGATATATTGACATATATTGCTCAAAAACTTTCCGGATTGCCAAAAAATCAAGTAATTGGATCTGGTACATTTTTGGATTCAGCAAGATTAAGGCTTAAAATAGCATCATCAATAGGAGTAAATATTATTTTCTTGAAAAATTATTATTATTTTTTTTTAAAAAAAAAATAAAAAATAATCATTTAATTTTTTTTAATTAGGTCGCAGAAAATGCGGTTCATGCTTATGTATTAGGTGAACACGGCGATTCACAAATTATTGCATGGTCTTCGGCTCACATTGGTGGGAAACCATTATTAGATTTCCCGGAGTTGAAAAATATAGATAAAGATAAATTTGCAAAAGAAATATCTGGGAAAGCATATGAAATCATAAAATTAAAAGGTGCTACATATTTTGGTATCGCGGGATGTGTTTCGTCATTGGTTCAATGTATTGTATTAAATCAAAAACATGTTAGACCTTTAAGTACGTTTATTGAAGAATATGGATGTGTATTAAGTATGCCCGTTGTATTGGGAAGTAATGGAATTGAAAGAATGATTGAAATACATCTTGATTCTGATGAAAGAGCTAAATTAAAACAATCTGCTGTTGCTTTGAAACAAATTTGTGATAAATACGTTAAGTAATTAATAGGATATTAATAGGATTCTATTTTGAAAATTTTCTTCTTTTTAAATTTATTCTTAGTTCATTTATTTTATTTATTAATAAATTATTCATCTATATTATTCAAGTTATACGTTTATTTAATTAAATAATTTACAGAAAAAATTAAAAAAAATATTCGGAATAATCCGGAAATGACGGAAATTAACTTTTAACAACACGCTTCACAGCAACAACATAGACAAGCACCAAGAGCACTAAATAAAAAAAGAAATTTTCAGTAAATTTTACTAAAAAATTTATATTACAAAGAAAAAAAAAAAAAAGGTCGATGCTTACATTCCTAAACATAACTTATCTTTTTTCTCGGGCGCTTGTTGTTGAACTACTACAGTTTGAGGTGGAGGTGTGGGATAATATCCTGATAACAAAATAAAATACAAAATAAATTTATTTGAATTTTTAATTTTCAAAATTTTAATAACGAGAAAGTCGAGATCTTACCTCCTTGTTGCATTGGTGGTTGTGGACTATAATAACCAGAATTTTGTCCTTGAGGTGGATATCCTTGAGGTGGATATTGTGGTGGTGGGTATTGTCCTCCTGGATATCCTTTATCGGCCATATTTATTTTATTTTATTTTATTTTATTTTATTTAAAGAAAAGAGATTTTTTTTCAATTTGGTGTGTCAATATATATATTTTTTTTTAAAAAAATATATGATTTTTGGTGACTCAATATATATATTTTAAAAGAAATATTTGGCTTTGCTTAAATTGTTAAAAGGCCAACCTGGATATTTATAGAATTGTAAACAAAGAAACTTCGATGTATCAAAACTTGTCCATTTAAATTGTTTGAAGGCGTATAATTAGATAGAAATTTCTTCTCATTAAGGTTTAGTTAGGATTTTATCTTATTGTATAATATAATTATCCTAATTAGTGTTTCGGATAATTTCCTTTATTGATTATTTTAATTCAAGAAAGATTACTTGTTTACATAAATCATGAGCTAAATTGAAATTTCCTGGATTTCTATCAATATGACCAATAAAAGGGGTTTTGTATTACATAATTTAAATTTCTTGGCCTCTATTCCTTGCCTTTTATAGGTAATGTATTCACGATAAAAAATTATGATAGATACAGCGATTTTCTAGATTTTCTAAGTAAGTAAACGACGATTTTTCTTGGCAACACTATTTCGGTACTGCCAAGAAAAGCTATAAATATCATCGAATCTTGGCGATTTGTATTTCATTGCCAATTCTGAACTCAATTGATCCTTAAAACAACGCGCTTTTTTTTATTTTCTAAATATTTAGAGTATAGTTAAATAAGGGGACAACTCAGGGGTACACAAACCACATGGATCACTAAAGCCATATATAATTTACAATTATTTACCATAATAGTCGTAATCGTGCAAAATCACAATGATCTTCATGATGATACAATCATACCATTCACATTTCACACCATGATGATACTGTCATACTTGTCATACTGGAAGACTATACATTGTATACTTTGTGAATTTTATTGCCGTATTCAAGTCAATTTCATCAATAATAGAAAGACTTTGTGAATCAATATTATTGTCGTTGTTATTGTTGTTATTGTAACTTCTGAATCGTTATTTTTCTCTGAATTGGATTTTTTTGGTTTTTATTTATTGGATCTTTTTGATGCACAATAAAGGAAGAAACGCCATTTTTAAACGTTTTAAACGTTTTAAATAAAAATATTTATAATTTTTTTTGTTAGTTTCAAAAAAAAAAGCAATTTCCCCTTACTATTATAAAAGTAGCAAAACAAACAAACAAAGAACAAAATAACAAGTGGTCCAATTTGGATAAAAAAACTTCACTTATATAGAGCAATCTTAAGTCTTGAAATTAGCTGCCGGCTTTCTGTCTGTACTGAAAAAAAAAACTAAAAATTTGCGAATTTTTCGTGACTTAATCTTGAGTTGTCCCCCCGTTTATTTATCTATCACCTATCTAATACAAATATCACCCGATCCTATTCCAAATGACGTTAATATTGTGAGAATATTTTTAGAAGTTTATTTAAAAAATTTTATTATTGAAATTTTTATACAATGTAGAGAAATATGCTTGTATTTGGCACTTTTATATGCATTATTTTGTTTTTATGGCTGAAAGCCGGTGTAAAAAAAGTAATAAAATACCCTATATATAAAAATCTATGTTAATTATTATTGTGCTCTTATTATATCATTATTTGTATTTCCACGTTGTTCATTCGGTTCAATATTATGTAATCTACGTCCTATCAAGTATTCTTCATCCCGAACAGCTTGCATCCAACTATTTACTAATTGTCCCATTTGTCGTTGAACGCGATAACCAAGTATCAATGCTAAAAACACCGGGTAGATATATCGAATTATTAGAGCTATACTATTTGCATTGGTAATGCCTATTAGTATCGAATGCGAGATGAGAAAATAAAGTCTATATTAGTAAAAATTGATTACGTAAATGATGATAAAAGATTTAATCATACCGAATGTGGTTATTATCACCCAAGCTGTCAATGCTGGAAGAATTACGGCCGCTAACGCTGAACCTCCTATCGGGAAAATAAACACTGTTGTTGCCAATTGGACGTTCAAATGTTTAATTCCCCTTCCGGTTATCTAATAAAAATATAAATTAAATCATTATATAAAAATTCATGTAGTTACCAAACATAATCATTATAATTATCATTTAATATATCTTATCTTACTTCGTTAATAGCTCTACTGTATACATTATCAGGTAACATAAAAACAATTCGATATGCGATTTTCATATAAACGATACCTAATGCCCAATCCTATTTTTAAATAATAAATCAGATGATATATTGTTATTCAAATACGTATTCAAAGAGAAGTAATAGTTACCTGTAAAAAAGATATGACTGGTATGTCGGTGGTAGGTTTTTTCCATGGTAAAATAATGTATAATTCGATAACTAATGACAGAAGGAATGGGATTACCATTCCAAAAAATATAACAAGGTACAAAATTTTTGCAACCACAATTATCCCTTGCAACATCTTCTGTCTGACCATAGCCCAATCGATATTGCGATCTTGTCTCTCGGCAATCGCTTGAATTTTATTCGTAATCCATTCAATGGCAACGTAATGTGCCCACAATACATAAAGTCCCACTGTAAATGTATATAAATCGTGGACAGCACGTTGATGATGTAAGATAGATTTAAAGATGTAACGTCCAGTCAAAACTTTAAAATTTAATGGATTCGTTAGTTTAAATGTGTTCATCACAAATTTAACAAAAAAGAAAAATATATTTACGTGGCAAGACGGTTACTGAACAGCAAAATAAAGAACCACAGAACCACATAAGGAATAAAAATATTATTACTCTTGCTTTAAAATTTGGAGGAATATAAACAACTGTATAGTTAAGTTGATCATCTTGTCCAACCGGTACTTCTCCGGGATTTTTTAATGTGCCATCCTCATTCACAGGTATTAACATTCTCCGGCCTGGTACAACTGTTATACCGTCATAACTAGGTGCACGAACAAGTCCACCATCTGTACCTTCCTCATCATAATGACGACCTCCAAACATGAAAGATGTCAACCGTAAAACACGTGAGGTAACTTTCCACCAATTCTCAAATAATTTACGGAATAGACGTTTTGGCTTGGCCCAAGTGACAGTTACAGGAACGACTATGTGAAATACGAGAAGATCAGCAGGAAAATCAGAGATTGGTTCCCTAGATAAAGGAAGGTAAAGAATTAAAAAAAATTCCCGACTAGCGTGCACATATAAATCAAATATATTACATACATGAATGGTAATTGCAATGGTAATATTCCATCAAAACAATAACGAAGAAAATAAATAACACTTCCTAAGCCGAAAACAATCATTGCACTATACATAATACCACTTGCGCCAATTTTTTTGAGTTGGGTCCAAACAGGTCTATCTAGAATTTCTTTTATAGGATGAAATTGTGGATCATTCGGATCACGAATAAACCACATAACACCATTTCGTACAATTTCTCGACACAGAGATACAAACACCGCGAAATGGAACATAAATGCGGTACCAGTAAACCAATGAAGAAAAGTTGATGTAATGGGAGATTCAAGATAAAATTCCAGACGGGTTGATGGTGTTGCTTCCGCAAATAATGGCAACGTAGAGAGATCCAATAATATACCACATATAATCGGAAAAATAACCAATTCAATTGCGACAAAGAAAGCGACCTAAATAAGATTAAGATTAAGATTATTAATAAAATTTTCACATAATGTAACTAACTAAATTTAACATACCTTTAAAACTATGCCTTGTTGACGTAATCCTTCTTGAACAGCTCGACCAACAGTAGCACCGTATGCGTTCCTCGTTTTTGCCAAATAATAAGCACACAAAAAAATGATAACTGTATATCCACAAAGGATACACACAATCTTATCCGTAGGTGTATTACCGTAAGCGAAACCATTCCACCGATCGATTATTTTAACAAGCCACGTTAAATTTTGTGCTTTTAGAAATTCAGAAAAATTGTTAACACTACTAATGGTTGAGTTTGCGATAATTTCTGATTCTGGGGGGTCTATTTTAGCAACGATAGCAGCAGCATATCCCAAAAGATCTTCCGTTTTATCAGAAACATCTTGCACATAATGCATCAATACTGAATTTACGAACATTGGCGAAATTTGAGGACTAGTAGCGTTCCATCCAGACTTTAATAATGGAAATACAAGTGACCATAACCAAGGAATACCAGTATCAAGGACGAGATCTACTAAAGGGTCCGTCAATTTTCGTAATAGTTTCAACGGGAGCTGTATAACATTCAAGGGTTTAATCTAAAGTGCATAAATGTAAACATTAGATTATCAAAATATTTTAATTAAAGACTTAATATAAATATAAAAAAGTGCATCAAAGTACCAATAAAACAGTTTTTCCGACGATAAATGGGACCCAAATAGAACCGGCCAAACATAATGCAATCAAAACTATCATCAACGCAGAGTTTTGAGCTAACATCCATAAAGATCCTCTCATGCCAATAGCTTCCAATACACCTTCAAGATCTTCATTAGCAACATTTTCTTCATCCTCATCATCTGCTTCTATAAATCCTTGGTCGACGGCAGGAGGTTCGATTGCCTCATTAAAAAGGGGTGCAGGCATAGGCAAAACTGGAGCATCAGCAACCTCTGCATTGGGTTCCCTCGCTAATTAAGATTATAAAAAATTAATAAATAATTTCATTATCGAAAGTATGATATAATTTGTAATATTTATAACATTTTACCATTTAATTCCCCAGCAGGCTCCTCTTCATTTTCATCATCTTCGAGAGGATTATCATTATCATCTGAATCATTCTCTTCGCCTTCATCCTCCTCATCATCAATGCCTTCATCTTCTTCAATATCATCTATATCATCAAAATCCGATGAATCATCATCATCATTCTTTCCAAAATTATCATCGTAACCTTGTAAATTAGTATTATTAGAGTTACGGTGCGAATCATCAGCAAAATAAACAGTATTTGTTATTATTTTTGATGGACTGTATGTGTTATTGATATCTCGTGGGTATTTTTCTTGTAAATTTATGTCTTCGCTTTCCTCGTCACTATCTGATACTTCAGGTGTTACATCATAATCGGCATTGTTATCACCTAATTGTTCTTTCTTTGAAGAAATTTCAGAATAATCAACATTCATAAAAGAACCACCAAGAGATAAATCATCAAGATCATCTTGTGTCGATTGTCCTATTGTATTGGAAGATGATGCAGGATGCGTCCTCACTTTCCCGATAGGACGGATTCTTCTATCTCCTATTAAGGTAGGAATAAATTTATCTGAAGATTGCCCTTGTTGAGCTGTAACACCTGCAACGCCTGATGAGGATGAAGAAGAGGATGATGATGCAGAAGAGCTGAAAAAATCATCTTTATCTTTATCAATGACAGAATTATCGACCTTGAATTGTGAAGGATTAGAGTCTTTTATAACTACGTTTTGTGATATTTGTGAAGATGAAGTATCGCCTAATTCCGAGAAAATCATCAAAGAATCATTCGATTCAATACTTTTCCCTTTAAAATCTTTACTTGCATCACCCATAAGAGCTTGAATCGACATCTTAGAGTCATCTACATATGGAACATACATAGAAGATTTTTGATTGTCCATGTTAACATTTGTTTCTGAAAGTAAAGATGAATTATCTTTTTCGTAAGTAATGTCCTCATTCCCTAATTTGACGTCTAGTCTATTTTCAGATGGTATAATGTTCGATTCAATTTGAGTGTTAATGTAATCTGTTATTAATTGTTGATTTATGTTTTCTTCTTGATGTTGATCATTAACTTCATTAAGTTCTACATTATCTCTAAGAAGATTTTGTTGTAATGGTTCAGGAACTGGATCTTGCTGCAAAACTTGATCAGCCGGGGGATGCGGCTCTGGCTGAATTAATGGTAGGCGATGTCCATTTTGGAAAATAAATGCTCCTTCATTGAAGTTTGCTACGGCGGGAACAACAGGAATTTGAGGTTCTTCAGGTATTTGTTCAACTACCGGAAACATAATCCCATTGTTAATAACATTTCCTTCATTTGCAGGCCCATCATTTACTTGATCATTGACATTATTGTTATCATTTGCAGCTGGTGTGTTCTGAACTATCCACTCTCTTAATAAGAATGCAGCCACAAAAACTATAACAACAACACATGTAATGATTTGACCTTCAAACGTGTCTGATAATACTTTGCTATAATAATGTTGGAATAATAATAATTATTTAGCCTGATTAAAATAATTGTTGATATTGTAATATAGAACTAACCTGGCTAAATCACCATAATATTCCACAAATTTTACTGCATCCGGAGGTACATACCAAACGAATCCTTTAAGCAGTCCCAAATATATTATACTAAGACCGCTCTTTTCACCAGATTCTATATTGTTATCTGAAATTCTATTGGGAATCTTTTGTCCGTTGATAAAAAAAGCGATACTTTCACCGCTCCAGTAATAAAACCTCCATATCCATACAGTAGCCCAAGGTAATGCTATTAACCATACAATTCCTACAAGAAGTGCACGGAACCATATTTGAACGAGTCCATAAAGGCGCCGTATACCGCGTCGAAGGAATAATACAATGGGGATAGTATCTGGCATACTTGGATCATAAACTAAGAATTGGAATTAATAATAATCAAATAGTTATTATAGTTATTCTCGATTTTTTTTAATATGTTTACTATAATAAATAATACATACTTGGGGTGAACGAAAAAGGATATTTGCACACTTCACAATATCTATTAAATCAATTTGTATAAGTAATTCACCTAGTATGTTCTAAAAGAGTTAAAATAAAAATGCATACTTTTTCTTGCTATGTCTCAGCCATTCTGTCAAACTGTTTTAAGACAAATAAAAATCGTAAGACAAAATAACGATCAAGAAATTATTTTATCAAATATATTTTTTAAAGTAATATTACCAATCTTGGTGAACAAATCTAATACTACCAGAGCATTTACAAGGATGGTATAATGGTTGGTCTTCAGTGCCTTCACTACGGCAAACACGACAAACATCTAAATAAAAAATAATTAACGTAAAATGTATTGTAAACGTAGATCTGGAATCTCGCCTCATAAAAAAGTTATTTATCCTTGATCACGACTGAAATCACTTAGACAAAATCTACTACCTTCGTCTTCGACCATTGCTCGCTTTTTTAATTAAAATAATCGTTACTAAGCTAAAAAAGTTTCGAAAGCAAAAAAACGAACGTTAAAAAAATAGCAGAGATGCGATGGCTGCTTAATTTGTAATGTTCGATAATTTATCGAACTGTTTATTGCTTATATTAACAATTGTATGGTCCTGTGACTTATTCGTATACATGATCGCATTGACGTAATTTTTTCATTTTCAAATGTTGTTTTGCTTACTAAAGCTTTGATAACAAACAAAATTCTACGTGAAAAAGTATTAGTCGTGTAGTCGAGTATAATTTTTTTCAATATCTAATTTTTTACTGCAGAATTTTCTTTCAATTATCTGATTGTCTTTGTAATTGAGCAGTAGTTGCTGAGCTTCTTGTAAAGTATTTGTTTTAAAACTTTCTATTCTTTATTTCGGTTTTAATGCTTTTTAATTTGATTTCAGCTTGAATATTTCTTATTTCTTTCCTTACCAAAATTAATTATTTTTACTATGCATTAGAGCACAGAATTGTATGTATTATTTACTTTGTTAATACTCCAGAAAAAAAGATTAATAGCGTTACAATCACGTGTTATTAGTACACTCGAAACCAAAAAATAACATAGACCGTTTCTGATTAATCTTGTTTTTTATTGCAATTTCTTTTCTAATGATTATTTTTTTTTTTTACTGTTTGTTAAAATGATATTTTGGCGAGCTATTAAAAATCTTTCTGGCACAATTTAAAAGATTTTGGGAAATATTTATAATTTTGAATACAATTTGAAACTAAATTTAATTCTGTCATTTAATACCTTGGGCTTTGATTTTGTTTTTCAATTAAGATATTTTACTTGTAATTTAATCAAATAAAATCAAATGCATAACTTCCCAATCTTTATTAATTGTAATATAAAAATTTGTTAATTACATACCAAAATCACGTGATAAGTGTCACCTTTTAGATAAGATCAAAAGGAAATCTTTTTAAATATAAAGGTGTAAGTATTTTAATTTAACTGAGCAAACAATATGCTGCAATTGAACCTTGAAAAAAGATGAACAGTGGCTTTAAAAATTATATAAAAATATTATTTATGATGAGAATCCGAAGGGTATTATAATTTGTGTCATCCTATAAAATTATTATATATGCAAAGCTTCATGATTTGTAATTCATCCCTCATTTGACCTTAAAAGATTAACATCTACTCATGATCGTTCCATTTATCACACCCTATATAATTCACTCCAGCGATTTGACTTAACCATAACAAACAGATGTATTGTTTGGGTATATTGAGTATTTACTATTACTAAGTATTCTCTAAAATTATTGTAAAATTGATAAAAATAAAAAAATGACACAAGTTACTAGTATATCTACAATTTTTAAGCACTCTTACAAGCCTCTCTACTGATGTATTATTCACGAATAAATGGATTGGATTCAAATATCTATTTCAGTATGTGACTCTTTTAAAATATCAGAATTGGCCAATTGACAAGATTTAACTCTCCACATTGTTTTTCGCCTTTTGAAATTTGAACTTGACACCATCTTTTATTTTTAAGAACATCTTTATTTTTAATACTAGCAGAACCAGCGCCGTGCTCACTAAATGACATTGAAACTAAAAAAAATACTGGAAAGCATTTTTTTTGTAAAACAATTTTTATTTTCAATGCAGCCTTAGGATCTGCTCAATTTTCAACATCAAAATGTGTATGCAATTCCCTCTTCTGTGGTTGCGGGATATTCAATTGGAACCAAGGAATGTTCAACATCTTTGATTTATAAATATAGCTACGGTTTGATAAAGCTGATTTAAGTTTTACGGCATCATCTTTTACTTTTTGCGGTTTAGAGCAGTCTACCGCGAAATAAACTGGGCCATGTCCATTGGGTCCTGTGATGCTTTTTCTTGCCGAAGTTCAAACTTGCCTTCGTATAGATTTACCTAGTAACAAGGTATGGATACATATAGCGACCTCGATGCTTCATTTCCACTGATTGAAAAGGACTTGAAACGGACATTCAGTTCGGTCATAAGATGTTTAAGTGCTTCTGAGAAGAATCATCTTCCACGAGAGCACTGATAACGAAGGATCGTCTGTTTCGCCAAATCTGAGAAAGCTTTTGAAGGAGTCTCTAGTCTAGCTACCCTATCTACTTCTTCGTTCTAGAGTGAACTTAATAACTCTGATGAAACTGATTTGTAGATTTTTTTTCTCGATAGTTTTATGTATAAAAGATATAATGCTTCGGTTGTTTGTCTTGCTACACGTTCTTATAGCATCCTTACATTTGTAGTATACCCTCAATGACCACCTTGGAATCTACGTATATTAACGCGTAGTAACACTAATAAAGCTGAAGGTATAGACCAATTATGTACATAACCTACGCAGCAATATAGTTGCTGTTCAACGTTTATGACAACCCCATTATTGCTATGGGTACGATTAATAACCCGCTATTCAGATGGCATCTATTGTATCTTTTCATGTGAATCGTATTGTATACTATTGGAAGGTCCGTCCCTTGCCAATGTTGAAACTAAAATTCTCGGAAGTTATTTTTTGTATTCCTGTCATTTTACCGTAAACAGATTCTTGTTTCCTATTATCGTTACTTGGGATCGCGACTAGCTTCATCTGTAGAATATTGCGTAGAATCTGTTATTTCTATGTATGTGTAGGTAATAGGAATTGATCCATCTAGTCAATTATGTGAATCATTCTAGAATTTTTCCTTCCATTTCATGCGTTGATCGTAACGCCAACTCGCCAAGTGATTGTGGCTTGCCCATTGCTTATCAGGAATTGTAATACTCGTTTAAGGCCATGATTTTTTATGGAATTTGTTGATTGTATATAAATCTCTGATGATAGGGCATTATAGGGATAGTCCAATATCGTGAATCATAGGTTGAAAATCAGTAAAGTAATCTTTCGCTTTCTCAAAACTTCGTTTGCGTGATGGAGGAAAAGTTTGGTCATGTTTTTATCTCTCCAGATTGTGATTTCCTATGGTATGTGGCTTGGAGTGGCCTAATGTCTACTGAAATGTCTATGACGTTTTGTGCTTCCATCTTATTTTTCGATATCCATTGAGTGTCATCTACGTACACCGAAGCGGCTGTGCGTAATGATAGTGTCAAAGATTTATTATTGGTTATTCGTCGATAAATTTATTTCGTTTCATATTCAAAATTAGTGTTGTATTGTAAAAGATCACCCATATCAAGGAGGATATCGTCTCACCCTGATCAATTCCGCCTTCAATAATCTTCATAGATCTCTTTAAAATTATCAATAATAAATTCTAATGGCGTTATCCAGGATTTTGATCCACTTTAAAGTATGTTCCAGGGGAAATCATACCCACACTATCGCCATATCTTGCAAGACCAATCCATAATTCCTCCATTATGCTGTTGAGGAAATCAATGGAACTTGTGTGGATTCACCTGGCAGACCTGTAAAATTTGGTCTTCTAAGATGTGATACTGATCCTTGTATATTCAATTATGGGATGGGTCATCATCAGATAATATTCACCTTTCATCCGTCTTATATTTCTTCTTGGCTTTGGTTGATCCACAACTGTTGCTGGTGGTCTCGGTACTGGCTGTTGAGCTTTGTCGTCATTTTAAGATTATAACTTCAAATTTTAGCATAAGATATAATTGTGCCAGTTCCCATTTATAGTTCGCATATCATTCCATTCCTGTTCTGTGGGTATGTCCATCAATCACATATTTTCCTTGATATCATTACTTGGTGTATAGATGGATTTTCATCTTTCGGGAAGGTCGTTGAATTTATGGCCCCTAGTTCTGAAGATCCGTTTAAACGTTCTGGTAGCTTCGTTTTTGACTTCCTCTACCGTCCATTTGTATTTTATAACATCTATGAATTACGTAATTATTTACGTATTACGTCATCTCGAAATGCTGTTAATCATTTTCGTTGGTCTTCTAGTATCATTGTATTTCGGCTTTAAATTCGTTATTTTATGACTTTTTCTCGTACTCTCCTTATGTATAATACTCTGCAAAAAAAAACCAACTCTCATTTTCTGACGATCTTGTTATCTAAATAATATAATAAACATCTCAGGTGTTACAGTATATGAACATAATTGTTATATAAGTTTTAAATATCTAATAAAAGCTCGCGCAATAGAGGGGGTATAAGGGTCAACCCTCTGAAATTTGTATCATAACAGCTGCTCGAGTAACATCAACAACTATTGGACAACTACTTCCATACGCGCCTAGTACGAGTTTTGAGGAAACAGCTATTCAAGTAACAACACTCACGGTTATTGAACAATTACCTCCTGACGTGGCTATGGCTAGTACTAGTTCTACTCAACAACGTGAACAACCAGTAGGAACTGAATCTGAAACTCCTGGACGAGAAACTTCACTAAATGAGCAACCTGCAGGAACAGGTCCTGTTGAAGCTCCTAGTATTGGAGGAGCGACTAATGAAAATAATAATGGAGAACGGGAAGCACGTCCTGCAAAGAAAAAGAAAAAATCAAAAAAATCAAAGGCTGAAAAACGATTGGCTCGTTTCAAAACATGTTGCTCACTTGTAAGACTGAATTCTTTTTTTAAAAAAATCAATTTTCATTACGTGAATAATTTTTTTTTTTTTTTTTTTTTTTTTTTTTTTTTTTTTTTTTTTTTTTNTTTTTTTTTTCTTTTTTTCTTTTTTTTTTGATAATTACAGCTTAACCGTGAACGTATGATTCGTGCGGAACAACAACGAATTTACTTGATTGAACGAAACAAAATTAACGATCTCCGCGAAAAATTCGTTATCGTAGGACCAGCTGGCAATGTAGGAAGTGTTTTATTGTTGTACATAGTCCTGTGCGGATGGAGTGTGGATCATTCGTTATACTTCGGAATTCGGACTAATTAACCTGCAACGAAACTTTTACGTTCAAATTTATTAACTTGTTTTTTTTAAAAAAAAAAAAAAATTATTCAGGTTTATACAGTTACTATTGCGCATTTACCAGATTGCAATTGTCCAGATTTCACGAAAGGATTTTTGTGTAAGCATATTGTAAGTATATTGGAGAAAATCTAAAATCTTCTTAATCGAGATCTAGAATTATGACAACCTTTTTACGTTTATATTTGTTTAGTTCTTTGTTTACCTCAAAGTTTTGGGTGTAAATCGAGATAGCACGCTTATCTATCAGAAAGCGCTTTTGTCTAAAGAACTTCTTTCGATCTTTACAAATGCAAGGCCTAGTTGGCCCAGCAATACAGTGTAATTGCATAACGTGTGACTCATACATTTCATTAAAAGACTATTAATGCACTGAGATATCATTTTTCCTTAGTCTCCGCATTATATTTCTTATGTATAATGTCTTTTTCCTTTCGATATTCTTATATTGCGTGTTGAGTGTTGAGGGTTACCATTTTAGGATCATATTTATTTTGCCCATAAGATGGAATCATTTTACCCATTCTATCAATATAATTAAATGCTCCGTTCGAAAGAGGTAAGGATTCTAGGTGATGTTCCATTGTTCCTCCGAAGTATTATGCTCTCATCCAAACGATTATCTTCACGGTGTGTTCTAATTTAGGTACTATACATTAATTTTTTACATTACTATATATAATATATATATCATACTAATATTGTAGCATATTAATTTCAATTATTTTTTTTATGATGCTTTTTATATTGGTAAAGAAAATTATGAATCATTATCTAAAGTTGGTGAAATATTTACTTTACAATTAATTGATTTAAAAAATAATGGAATAATTGATGATATTAATATTCATTAATTAATTGATATTTTCTTTTCTGGTAACTGAATCTAATTTGTTTATATTGTAATATAAAAAATATTAAAGATAAATTATATTAAAAAAGTTTTACAAATAATTTAATTTATTAATCAGAAAACAGAAAAACTTCTATATTTTCTGTAATTGATTTATTTAATTATATTTCTAATGAATTATACATATTACTATGAATTATTTGATCAAAAAGATTAAATATATATTTTAAATTAAAAAATTCAAGCTATTAAATTAAGTTATTTTATATTACTATAAAAGATGATTTTAGATTTTAGATTTTAATATATAGGATGTAGGTTTACTATAAAAATTAATTTTAGAGTTATTTATAATTTTAAAAGTAATTAAAATTGGATATTATTTAAAAAAAACATATAATTATATAATTTTTAATATAACTATCATTAGTAATGCCTGTCTAACCTTTTTTTCAATTTGTTACTAATTAATTTCAGGTTTATTACTAACTAAACTATTAAATTTAATTATATAAAAATTATAATTTTATTATAAAAATATATAATATTATATTATATATTATAAAAAATAATTTTTTAAAAAATATTTATAAATTATAAGTATTTATTATAATTAAAAATCTATGGAAATTCTATATAGAAATCCTATAGAATTTTAATTTTGGCATTTTGTTTTTTAATTTTTAATATTTAAAAACTATTTTAATTTTATTAAATAACTAAATATTTCAGTTTTAATTATTATTATTAATTATTATAATGTAAAAATTTAAAATATAAATAAAAAAATTTGTAAAGAATAATTTTTTAAATAGATAAATACTTCAAATAATGAACAGTTAAAATCACTGGTATTACAAACCTCTTCAAAATTTTACAATTAGTTTCTTCAAAATTTTACTATAATTTTATTATAATTTCAGTAAAGATTTTGACAGCTTTAGCATTTATAATAAGTTTTATTAGGTTTTGCTTTTCTTTAAAATTTTGCTAATTTTTTATTTTTTAATAAAACTTTTATATAGTTTTAACAAAGTTTTGCTATTTTAGCATTTTATCAACTTATCAAATCTTCTAATTTTTTTAGTAATTTTAGTTTAAAATTAAAATAAATATTTTTAAGAATTGTGATAAATATTAAATTAAGTAAAACTTACATAATATAAATTAAGTATTTTTATTAATTAAAATTAATAATTATATATATAATTAAATATTATTAGTTCATCATGAAGTTTAACCAAATGGAAGTCTTGTATTTATCAAATAGCAGTATTTGAATAGTATTAAAAATTTGCATTTATTAAGTAATAAAAAAATAAAATACTACAATATTTTATTATTTATTAATTATTTAATTTTTTAAGCATTTTTTTAATACTTTAATTTAACATTTATAAATACTTTTTCAACACATCTTGTATTCAATAAGTGCTATTTATAAATATTTAGTAAATGCTTTGATAAATATTATGATGTTAAAAAAAAATTTATCTGAAAATAAAAATAAAACTTTTTATAAAACTAATAATAAGTAATGGGTTTAAAATTTGTGCGCACCTGCGCATATACGCACTCCTATGGATATATTATATATAAAAGTCAAAAATGACATTTTAAACCCTTCATGGCTCATTAAGTAATGTTGTAGAATAGGCAAAAATACACATAATAAATAAAATTTTTAAGACTCTATAATATGTACGTGAGAGTTGCGGCATGAATATTTAAAAAAATCAGGATTTTACTAAAATCACGTGATAATTAATGATCGACAAATTTACTATATAAAAATTACCAAAAATGGAGGAATGTGCACATGCGCAGATATGCACAAATTTTATTTTCATAAGTAATATATATTATTATTTTAACTAATATTATAAAAAATTTAATTTATATTATAAAAACAAAAGTATAGTTTAATAAGTAAAAAAATAAAAATTTAATAAATTTTTTAATAATATTTTTTTTTTTATCCACAATATATTTACTAGTTTATTAAATTACAAGTTATAGAATAATATATAAGTAAAAGAAAAAATCTAATATTATTAGTTAATGAATCATTTATTATATTAAAAAAATATCTTATACAGTCAGACCTGTCTATAATCACCCCATATATAATCACATCCTGTATATTATCACTTAATTTCAATGCCTTAAAATTTTAAGACTGATATTCACTTTTTATAATCACCATTATATGCTAATCACTATCACCGATATAAAAACAAACTTTAGTTTAAATTATTATAAAATTAACTATATATTATCACATATCACATGATCAAATGTACATTACATCATGGTTGATGAATTTAAATAGAAAATCACGCACCCTTTTATTTTGCTAAATTTAACAATTATCAGAGATTATCTTTTCCTTTTTAATGACAATGATACAAAATATCGTTTTTTCTTTATTTTTTTTTTCTTTGTTCTCTTTTACACGTTATAATGACACAAACAAGGATGGCTATAAGTGACGAAATAAAATATAAAATATATAATTATCAAATTAAAAACCCAAATATATCCCATGAAAATATTGCAATATATTTTAACCGACTTCATAATATAAATATTAAAAGACCAACAATATCTAAGATTTTAAAGGATAGAGAGCGATGGCTTTCTATAACAAATAATACTTCTTCAACTTATAGGCATCGTGAAGTAAAGTATCCTTCACTTGAACAAGCACTTTCTATTTGGGTAAAACAAGCATTATCAAAAAATATGATTTTATCAGATAATATTTTACGAGAAAAAGCTAAAGAATTTGCACAGGATTTAAATATAGCAGAGAATGCTATTGGATTTTCAAATGGTTGGTTAGGTGGATTTAAATCGCGAAATAATTTAAGCAAGCAAT